GTTTCACTTTTTAAATGGAATTACTGAAATCAATCTACTTTTTCATGATATTCTAATTTTATGACCAGCACCTGTATATTTACCTTAGATTTAGACAAAGCAAAACAATCTGGTTTGAAATAAATTCAACCTTAGACTTAGAAGTAACAATTCATGTAGACCAGAAACCAGTTAGTGAATCAGTATCAAGTATCAGGAATTGCCATCCCTAACTAAAAGACTGTTTAATTTGATTCAGTATCAGGAACTAATTTAACTATTTTTAATTTCCAAATACAAGTTATCAATATCATTTTGCACAAAAAAACATTTTTGGCTTTTAGACCATTTGTGAGTACAGTCTGGGATAATTTTTACTATTATCTAATGTAGAAACAATATCCATTATGTTTAAAAATTACCATTAAACATTCAACCTTTAGTCTGTATGGACTTACTTAATTACTATCAAAAAGGTAAAATACCTGTTGTAAAGCATTCATTTTAATTTTTCATAATAATAACTGTTAGACTAAAAAACATTAGTGACCACTTTATAAACAATTTGTTGTTAACGGACACAATGAACCAGCGAGAGAAATCTTAGATTGAATATCAAAGGTTAGCAATGTATCAAAGGATAATAGAGGAAAAATGACCCTGCAAACTCACACACAGTACTTAACTGCCACCATGTGTATGCTTTTGGATTTTAATTTGGGAAAAAGCCAGAGTTTCCAGAAAAAACATGGAGTCTAAAAACAAAAAAGGTTGCATATCATTTAAAAATTATATTAACAGTAGGAAGATGCATAATTTATCACTGGGTGTAAGAAATAGAACAATATCAGAGGATAATATAAAATTAAACAAAATTAAGATACTGCAGTGAATGGAAACCAACAGAAATTTCAATTATACAAAAAATAGCCAAGTAAACACCCTATTTCTCACTGATTACAATCTAAAGTGCTGTCTTTTTGAGCTCCTAGCCAAGCCAGCAGAGCTTTATATAACAGAAATAACTGATCTTCACACCATCATATCATGTAGAGTGTAAAATAGTTTGTTTAAAGATATATTTTTAGATATAAGCACAAAACTACATTTTCATTCAGATGCTCTGACATGACAGGTTAAATAAAGTGGAACAGAAACCAGAACACCATCGGTAATATGATTACACTGCTCGTGTGCAGGTTGCCTCCTTCTGCAAGAAATACTGAAAAAGGTGTTTGCCCCCTAAATATATTGTTTTCTGTTCTTTTCGTTTTTATAACACTTAAAATATTATGTAACAATTGTATTTAAAGCATGAGTCAAACAAAATGCAGTTTTCATAAATGATGAGTAAGTAACGTGACAAGGTGCACACCTTAAACAAATATGTTCCATTTACTGTATTTAACTGTAGGTAATGCTTTACAATTCATATGGTGTCTGGCAACATGTAAATGATTTCTTGATTCTATAAATTAGGTAATGATACGTCTTGGGTTTTGATAAAGTAAGTTTGATTAATCTATGGATTTAACAAGGGAGAAGCTACTATAAAACCTATTTTACAATCCCAGAAGCAAGAAAACTCTAGATTTCCAAAGGTTTAAATAAGAAAAAAGTCAATATAATTCAGTATCATTTTAAGATCCATTGACTTTGCAAAAAAAAAAAAGGGGGAAAAAAGTCAGAAAGACTCATTTTGGGCCTTTCCTCTGTTTATTATCAAACACACCTACAGTAATAAGGTGATTTCCAGTTCTATCACAATGTGAGAGTAAGAATCATTATGCCTTTCACTATTTGACCTGTCCAAATGGCTTGCGCAGTTTTGACTGTATTGTGGTCAGTACAAAATGTAACAGTCTATGTGGGGGGGCTTTCTTTTATAGGTTAAGTAATTAAGACCCCACTTAATGAGGGAACCAATGCACCCATGTGTGGCTTTGTTTCTGGTACATCTGTTTGATACAGCTGTTACTGAATGTAACATTTGTGCATAGAAATTGGGAAAATAAATAAAAACCCTGGATTTCTGCAATAGCTTTTTTCTTAACTCAAAAATCTGGAAGAATACAGTAGATCACGTAACAGCACATAACAGGAAAAAGCATGAGAACAGGTTGATTCGTTTTTCAAAAAAAGGAATTACCACAACTGTTTGCCTAATCCTCCACTTAGCTTCCAATAATGTTATGGCTTCTGTGGGTTTTTATTTTCTTTATTCTCACTGGAATTACGTCAACGTGGCATTCATAACAAATTTACCACAGGAACAACTGTTAGGAGCAGAGTTGTGGAGCAGCTTAACTAATGACCAGATGCTGCTCAGTGGCATCGAGGGAATCACTGAGGAATTATCTCAGTTCAGACATGGATTTTGAAAATCCAGCATCCATCTATGCCAGATCCTTGGAATGCATGCTGCCATTTTGAAGCCAGTATGCATTCCATCATCTTTTCTTCATATTTTTTCCCCCGATATCTTAATAGTTTGAAAACAGTGCATGCTGCAAACTGGAAAAATCATAATTCACAACCTGGCAGCAAGATTCCCCCTGCTTTCTGACAGATGGTTGGATTAGTGACACCTGGGCAGCCACACTGTGTTGATCAAACAGGACAAATATGAACAAGGTCTCTGTAGGTCTGCAGTGATGAGAGTTACCTTTGAGAAGTAAGATAAACCTCATCCTGCTTGACATATATAAGTGCATGCAGCTCAGCAGCCATCGAATTAGACGCATGAATAGTATTGTTAACTCCAGCACACCATGAGTCACCCTTTGCTACATTCAGCAAGACATAGACACACAAGCATAGGCGACCAAAAATGCATACAGTGTGAGCAAAGGAGCACAAAATGGCACCTGTGTATGAAGAGAGGATGGAAGCAGAATGAGGGTAATTCTTCACGTTTCAATGACAGAACTGAACCAAAATCTTACATAACTTAAGAAATAGTATCAGCAATTTGGCATTATGTTTGATAATCCCACATTCACATAAAGAATCCTGCAGCAACCCTGATGCCTAATTTGGAAAATCATTAAACACAGATAAACACATTTACACAAGAAAACTGATAACTCAATGTCATATTATTGAAATGAGCTAAATTTCTAGCTGCTGACAAGTCTTTTATGACATACCGTTTGGTCACCCATCCATGGTCCAGAGAGCCAACAGCCCATCTCCACAGCAACAGAAGGGAGCTGCCGAGGGTCTTGTAAAAATCTGCTGCTTCCCTTCAGCAGATCGTCTCTTCTGCCTCCCCCTCTTCCTCCCCCTTACAATCTCTTTCTTTCTCTCTCTCTCTCCTTAGATTGCCTCTTTCCATACAGTTCCGTCCTCAGCATCTGTCTCCCAACGACTACATCCAAGCAGAAGCTCCTCTTTTCACCCTTTTTTCTTTCCTCTTTCCATTTATTTCTTTAGGATTTCAGTTTTTTCCCCATTCCCTTCACTCACTGTTCAGAATTTGAGGATTCTGCACACGCACACAAACAGAGGCACGACATACATGCATGGGAGAGCTGCAGTCATAAAAAAAATATGCGCAGGCTGACACTGCGTTAAGAGATGGAGAGGGAAACACATAGTCACACAGCAACCATGCTGTGTGATTGGTAGAGTAATCAGCCAATCCCATGCACTGCTCCCCTTGTGGAGGTTTTCCTCTGTGTCTGAAACTCCTCAGCAAAGCTTCATGCAAGAGGCAGCCTCCACTGCAGTGTTACACTCAGTAGCAAGGGAAACACACCATCAAACTATTTATCTTCCAGCCGTTCAGCCAGGATCCCCCCTAGCAGATGCATGCTGGGAGATGAAGTCAAGTAATTGTGACTGTTTTAATGCTGTGTTTTAAAATTGATATTCTAAATAATTGTTATTATAATCCAATTTCTAATACTAAAAACTACCTACATTGGGCTTAAGTCAATATTTCCAGTATTTACTGAATCTAGCTTGCAATGATGGATGTCATGATTATCCTAGTGTTAGAACATCCCACTCTCTTCTCCAGTAGAACCAGATTTTCTGAAAAGAAATGAGAATTGCGATTTAAATTGCTTTCTTATTTGTTCATTCTTTTGTTTATTAAGACATACACTCAATTCACTGTGATGCAGAAAAGCTCTTAATTGTCAGTGTTCTAGTATTTAGCTAAAGGCTTGGGATCAAAACTGAATGGTATTCTCCAGCATGATTGTTTGTAATTTCATCCAAAAAAAATGTAGTTCTGTCTGAAGAAAAAAAGTCCCAGAGCATTGGGGGGGAATGTTGTTGTTTTTTTAGGAATGTTTTATCTAATTTATATATACTAACATTTGTGAAAGAGTGGATCTCCCTCAGGAGCTCAGTGAATTCCAGCCTGGTACTGTAATACCTGTACTGTAGTAACTGTCAGTGCAATAATAACAAAGTGGAAGTGATTGAGAACCAAAAATATGTGCCCTACAGACCATGGCATTATAATAAGAAGTAAGCTAGTGGGAAGAAAAGACAATGGACATGAGATAAGGCACTATTGGGATGCTATTACCCCAGTAACCCTAACCAGTAGTGTTATATAAACTGTGGAACCCTTGATACCCACAGTCTGAACTAACAAGTAGTAGCTCAATGTTCCCAGTTCAAACGGTAGTTGCTTTTACAGTTAGGGTGGCAGGAGATGTAACAAATGCAGGCTACATCAATGCGGAACCAAGACACAAGGTCAGAAGGGGGGGACCATAATCAAGCCACCTGACATTAGATAACAAGCTCAAATGATGCAAGAAAAACTGAATGGGAGAACCTCTCGCCAGAGAAATAAGATCACAGCTCAAATGAGAACTTGTCTACCCTGACATGGTCTAGCAAATTTAAGTAAAGTGCTACCAAATGATCTCCTGGATGACATGAATGCAGGTCTAAGTACAGTCCCTGCTTTGCTCGCTATAATAAATTAGCTTATACACAGTATACTGTCAGTGATCCATGAAATGCTTGGCCAAGGTAACATTAAGAGTGTCCACAGTGGACAATGTCCACCATGGAGGAGAAAACTGATCAAGGCAACATGGAAAGAAGTAAGTCAACTCTCAGAACTGCAGAAGGGAACATATGGCAAAGGAATGCAGCAAACAGATGCCAATACCCGAGGCCCGGTAACTGCAAAATGAATACTTCAACTACTACTACAACCCTCCGTACATGGTTAGGGGCTTTCTTGTCTTAACATCTGTGGCCTGTATGTCATCCTTTAGCCATATATATATGTATCTATAAAGTACATATATCTATATATACATATAAATCCAGCCCCCTGAGACTGTACGCTAGCCGAAAGAAGGAGGCCGAGGACTAGTGAGCGTGACAGCCACTATCAAGGGTGAAACATCCAAGATCCATAAGTACATCAAGGACAAGGCAACATGCTCAGAGAATGTCTCATCATGGGAGGAAAAGCCCCTACATGGGATGTACCACCGAAACATAACCGAAGTGGCGGATATCAGGAAATCCTACAAATGGCTTGACAAAGCCGGACTGAAGGACAGCAAAGAGGCACTCATCATGGCTGCACAATAGCAGGCCCTGAGCACCAGAGAAAACTTGAGGAGTGGTTACAGCAGAACCCTGGAAATACATCAGACATCTTGGTCCAGAATGATGCTGTTCTAGGAACAGCAAAGATAATGCACAGAACCCTCAAGCTCTCAGGCTTGGGGAGAGCTTGAGGTGAGACCACTCGCGGTGGATGAGGAAGAGTTTACATACATATATCTAT